GAAGCAGAATTTACTCCTCTGTATTTTTGAGTAGAATGACATTTTCCGTCCGACGCGCCGTTTTCCAGCTACGAGCCAAAAACTTGAAATAGTGCAACAATTTGGCGGTTTCTTGGCTACCAAAACTTAAGCTCACCACACCTGAGATGGTGCAAACTCAGATTACACGCTTTTAGGACCAAATAGAGGTTTTGAAATGATTTTATCAATTCCTCAGAATAGATTGTGATTGGCCTATTTAATTACAAAAATTAACAAAAAACTAATTCTGAAATAATGTGCCTTATTCTGAAGACAGTAGAATCGAGAACTTTTATTAAAAATTTGTACGTTTGATGTACCATGCAACAAACTATATGAACATGTTACCCAATTCATTCATAAAGTCCTCTTGCCCGGAAAAACCATCATCTGACATGGAGTGCCAAATTAGAAGAACAGAAGAATATTAGACAACAAGAATATAATAAATGGTTAGCTACAAAGGACGCTAACGATTACAATACATACAAACGACACCTACATGAATTAAGAATCTAATTCAAACTAATAAGAATGATACCTGGGAAAGAAAATGCAAAGAAGTCGGATGTTACATCTTCGGGACCTAATTCGTTCTCTGAGGAAGGAGGAAGGACACATCTCCAAAACCAACATAGAGCCAATACAAATGGGTCTTTTTTGCACTGACTTATGCAGCTCAATGAGAAAAAAACTTCTACAAACAGAGATGTCCACCTGCTCTTCGTTGACCTTACAAAGGCTTATGACACGGTTCCTGTCCAAAAACTTTGCAAGTGATGGAAAACACTCAAACAAATAATACTGCAATAATAACAATAAAACAGCTGTATCAGCAGCATCATCAAGAATAAAAATAGAATCTACTCTGTCTGATAGCTTCTCCATAACTAAAGGTCTGAGGTTGTTGTTTTGTTTATCTCCCACACTTTTCAAAATCTATTTAAATGAGACACTAAGAGAGTGGAGATCATGTAGTGGTATAGGGATACAACTGAATAATGAAAACACTTTATATAAACTCCATTTTGCAGACGACCAGGTGGTAATAGTACAAGATAAAGAAAACCTAGAATTTATGAAAACAAGACTTCTTATCGAATAAGAAAAATGGGGGCTATCGGTGAACAAAGCAAAAACCAAATACCTATGCATCGACCAAAACTCGAGAAACCTAACTTTAGACAATAATGTTGAAATATCCGCATGCGACAAATATACCTATCTAGGAACACAAATAGATAAGAAAGGCAGAACAGAAGCCGAGATCGAAGCAAGGATAGTAAAAGGAAAAAGAGTAATCGGATGTCTAAACTCGATTCTATGGTCAAATCCTATATCACGTGACAAAAAACGGCTTATATATGTTACGAGTAATATGCAAAATTGGATAGTTTGTAAACTAGCTGGATAGTTTACAAACTAACCAACCCTTTGGCTATTTTGATAAAAAAACGCAATTTCCACTAAAATAGCAGCTAGTTTGCAAACTAACAAAGAATCTTGGCTAATTTACTTGAATTTATTGAGAAAATTAAATTAGCTGGTTGGTTTATAAACTATCCAATGCAGCCTGGTTAATTGGAAAACCATGATTTCTAGTAACACAAAATAGCCAATCTTTTGGCTAGTTTATAAACTAACCAAACATTTGGCTAGTTTATAAACTAACCAACCAATTTTTTGCCTAATTTACAAATAAAGTTAGGTTACATGGACATTCATTTAGATAAATGTCCATGCAAGCTTTCTACGCTTTCGTGCACGCTAATATTTTGTCAGATTTTTTACTTAGAAGAATATATCGTCGCCTTCCTCGATAACTACTAATAGTATTACTAGTTATCGAGATACGCCACTTCGCGGAATTATGGGGGTTGATATTGCAATATTTTTGGTAGACCTATCTCGATTTTTATAACTTCTGAGATACGCCCTTATGCGATGGAGGCGACGATATATTGTGCATCAACTCGTTTTAAATCGTAATGCCTGATGAAATAATAATCAGATTCTTGTGCACTTTATCTACTTTCATTGTAAAGTTGGGAATTATTTGCTTCTTTATTATAGAGAACTAATAAAGAGGCGTGAAATTTTTCTTTGTGATTCCTGTATTACCAAAAACTGTTCCTGTGGACTATAAAAACAAACCCGGCCAGGCGGCCAGGACATCAAACAAAAAACAATAACATTCCGTATTCAAAACAAAACCTAACTTTATTTGTAAATTAGCCAGAAAATTGGTTGGTTAGTTTATAAACTAGCCAAATGTTTGGTTAGTTTATAAACCAGCCAAAGGCTGGGCTATTTTGTGTTACTAGAAATCATGGTTTTCGAATTAGCCAGGCTGCATCGGATAGTTTATAAACTTACCAGCTAATTTAGTTTTCTCAATAATTTCAGGTCCAGTCTCTTGGTTAGTTTGCAAACTAGCTGCTATTTTAGTGGAAATTGCGTTTTCTATCCAAGTAGCCAAAGGGTTGGTTAGTTTGTAAACTATCCAGCTAGTTTACGAACTAGCCAAGTTTGCATATTAACCATAACATAAATAACTTTATATTCCAAAGTAAAATCTTATACGGATGTGAAACATGGCAATTAACGAAAAACCTAAGACAATTTCGCCACGTTTTGGTAACCCACTTTGGTTGGTCAAAAATGTACCAACCAATTTCGGTACGAAAAACAATGACGTCACGATAACTTTGGTATCTATTTTGGAGCACGGTTATTTGAATTGGTAGCTTGCTATCTCTCTCTAATTTAGAGTAATTTATTTAACCTCATTTTTTAGTTTATATTTGAAATTAAACACAACAAATAAACACAATTAATTTTCACTATTCCCAATTTTAATTTCCGACAATAAAAAGTATTCAGTAGTTGGTTTATTTTTATTTTCTCAGGCATACCATCACCATCACGTCATGCACGTGACATTTGACAAACCAGCTGATTTCGACTGAAAATGGTATGCGACGTCACTGTTGTGACGAAGAGCCTACCTAGCGGTTAACCAATTTACCTACCAACCAAAACGTGGCGAAATCGTCTCTAGAAAGATGACTCATGTCACTCGAACTGGACTTTTGGAGAAGATCTGCAGGAAAATCAAGAATGCAAAGAATAACAAACGAAAGAATAAGAGAAATCATGTAGAAAAAACAATAATAGACGAAATACAAAAAAGACAACTGACATCGTATGGATACTTAGAAAAAATGAATGACGAACGGCTTCCTAAACTAGTAATGAAATGGACACCGCACGAGAGAAGGAAAAGAGGAAGACCTAAAGCAACATGGTTCGGAGGAATACAAAGAGCCATGTCGGAGCGGGACTTAAATCTAGGAGATTGGGAAGACAGAAGGGGCTGGAGACTGGGAACCGGCAGGCGCACGACATTATAAACCGGAAAGATTTTAAAAAATGATGTTCTCGAAATTTTCAGGCATAAAGTAACCATTAGTTTGTAACTTGACAAGAAAAGTTAAGTTTGAACCGAAATAGTTTAATAGTTGACTTATTGTTTCGATAGTTTTCAATGCTGATATTTGTGTAAGTGTGTCAGCTTATAATTTAAAAAGCGACATTTAAAAAGGCTTTTATTATCTCCCTTAATTAACTTTAAATATTTACCTCGCGAAGAAGAGAATTTCTTGGAAATTAAAACAGAATAAATATCTCAAAAACCGTTGAGAATAGTATATAATGTTCAATCAGTGGCAAAACTACATTTACCTCTTCAAAGGAATACGTCTACTTACCAGTCACCCTATATAATATGATGTGCGGTTAGCAGGATACGAATTGGGCTCTCAGGAACGGGGCAGAGGTCGTAATCCGATCGATTTTTGATATACATAGGTATATAGGACGCCAAAAGAAATTCTCCAAGACTGCAAAATAATTCAAATTTCAAGAAGGTGCTATAATAAAACACTCTCGCCGCCGAGTGTAACGTTAATGTACACCCTGTATTGACAAGCGTGTAACATTAATGTACACGTGTAACAATAATGTACACCAGCAACGTTTTGGTTGAAACGCTGGTATATCAAAAGTGTAACATCGATAACGTATTTCATATGGGGGATTTACTTTGTTGGCCTGCGGCTTTATTTCGGTATGCAGAGCATCGGCGTAGGACGAATACAACTTATGAGGTAGAGGTAAAATGAAAAAGGTGTAACATTAATTTACACTATAAAAAAATGCGGTTAGGGGGGGAAGGGGTTAAAATAAAACTAAAATAACAATTCAGAACAATTTATCTGGTCATTATACATCATATTATCATTTTGGCCCACGACGAAAAAACTGAAAATATCTTTGGCGGCGAGAGTGAAGAGGTCTTTACGTTTTTGGAGACTTCATCCAAATTTTAAAAGTGATCGACTGACGAGTGGTAATAGAAATAGCATAGAAACGTATTTATTATGAGATGTATTATCACATATTCACATTATTTATCAGGCATTTGGATGCGTAAATCCGATTTCTGTAGGTGTGACTGCTGATCAGTAACTCCGTTCCATTTCTAAAAAATGAGTGTAGATCTGATGTATAATGAATATAATGAGCCAGTTCATGGATCAGTCTAAAAGTTAGTGAGCTAACAAATGTTTTTAAGGAAATTTTACACAATATTGGCAAATGGTCAGCAGCTTTTTCAAAAATTGGATAAGCTACGCCACAATAGAGCTTTGGCATAGGTATATATTATTTTCTCTAATGAAGCTTACATGTTTGTTACCTTTAATACCTACTCTCTAAGCTAAGAGTATATTTGCAGAGGTAGAGCTACTAGAATACCTAATATGGAAACACATAAATTTCCAGTCTCTGGCTATAAGGTTGAAGACTACAAGGTACTTGTTTCCCATACTAACACCATTACTTCCAGCAAACTCATGTCGGAAGTATTCCTCGATCATTCACAAACTTTTTCTACATTTGTGCACTAAACTTTTCAGTGGTTTAACGCGCAACAAGAAACTACTAACCCGAATATACCGGAAGAGATCGAAAATAGATCTCCAAGAGACCATGGAGACCATGAAGAAGCTGGCAATGGAAAAATGGCAGCGCCGGAGGACGCACCTAATAAGGAGGTACACATTTAATTATAATTTTTTTATTTACCTATATTGATCAATAGCAATGTATTACAAAACACTTTGAAAATTAAACAGACTTGAGAGTTTAGTCAGCATTGGGTCATTCAAATCTACTAAATCTCAATTAAATTTATTATTACTATATTTACCAAATTTGAAATTAAAATATATAATAATAGGATGTGGGGTAGGCTTAAGTCAGCATTCATGATAAAAATCCTTTTCGAATCAACTCTCGAACTAGAAAAAGAAACAAAGGTAACGATAATCAAAACTTGACTTTCATCCTTATTTTTGACTTCAACGGGACCCCAAATCCTTATGGTTATTCTCTAACATCTTTTACAGCCACATTTAGGGGATAATAATAACCGGAACTCTTTGCTAGAAGAAGCCCATGCAGTACCTGAAGAAATTCCGGATCTTGCATGTAAGTAAATGCTAATCGATGCTTTTCTTTTATAATTATTATTACAAGAGATATGGGTCGGTGATTGTGCATCATCATGTGCGCATTTATTGTGAATTGGTGAGCTCCGTTAAGCTGGCACAGCTAGCACAGTTATAGTAACAAAAATATATCCTAGTAAGTGTGGGGGGGGGGGGGCAGGTCAATTCTAGCCCCCCCCGCATTAAAGATTGCTAGCATAACTATTCGTTGTCAGAAAATAGGGGTCAAACGCGGGGGAGGGATAACTTCACGTTTGGGATTTTTTGAGGGTTGGTCATAGAAACTGTTATGGAAGCTTGGTTAATAGCTGGCACAGCCTAGCACAACCATTTTTAGATCAATCAAAACTCTAGAACCGCAGTTATTCGCTAATTTATGCAGGGGTGGAAAAAGCTAACGCTATACACGCTTCCTCGTCCGTTTTTAAGTCAGCTCAATGCTGGCACAGATTCGTTTGAGCTACCACAGGTCAATACAACAAAAAAGAATGCTAGCACAATCATACTGTTGAAAATATAATGCCCCAAATGCGATGTGGGGATGGGGGGCAGAAAGCAAGCAAATATACAGGGTGTCCACTTAGTGCGATATCGGACAATATCTCCGAACAGGGCGAATAAGAAAAAAAAATACAAAGTTGTTTGATACTAATATGCATTAGTTAAAAATATTTTTGAATATACAAGGTGCTCTGTTTATGGGGTATGCGACAGAACTTTGTTATTTCAAATAGAACACCTTGTATGTGATTGCATATTTGGATTTTACGTAAAATTCTGAGCAGATACATGTAATATACCCTAAACCTAACTTCAACTGTTTTGGAAATATTGACAGTTGCAAATTGGACAGGCTGCAAAACCTAAACGGTTAATTTTGGAAGAAAACCGATTTTTCATTCCTATCTCAGATTTTCATAAACTATCATTTGACACCAACTTTGAATTTAACCGGAGATTAAATTTAACTGGAATTTTTAATCATGGATTAAATTCAAAGTTTGTGTCAAATGATAGTTTATGAAATCTAAGATAGGAACGTAAAATCGGTTTTCCTCTAAAATTACCCGTTTAGGTTTTACAGCCTGTCAAAGTTGCAAAAAGTCTATTTTCAACTGTGACTATTTCCAAACAGTTGAACTTAGGTATGGGGTATATCACATGAAATCTGCTTAGAATTTCACGTAGAATCCAAATATGCAATCACATACAAGATGTTCCATTTAAAAAAACAAAGTTCTGTCGCATAACTCATAAAGAGAGTACCCTGTATATTCAAAAAGATTTTTAACTAATGCATATTAGAGTATTTAACGACTTTGTTTTTTAATTTATTTTTCTTGCATCACCCTGTAAGGAGATATCGTCCGATATCGCATTAAGTGGACACCCTGTATAAATGGTTGTATTGCTGAACTACCTATGTATTTTTTGTTATTTGTTAGGAAACATGATTAAAGCTGCTCTATCATGTGAGTTGACAGGTTGCCCTGGCTACAAGCTACAAGTAGACTAGTAGAAAGTCTCCAGAGAGTAGTTACAAGTTAAAATATTGACATAAGTCATATTTTCATCAAATATTCTTTTATTTCCTCATAGGCATATATACAGGGTGCTACAAATTGGAGTGCATGGATGGGGATATCGGAAACCGGAAACCGTAAGAGATACGAGGTTGGTTGAATTATGGCAAAGTTGCGTAATAGATGCTCAACAAAACGCCGTTCCGTAATTTGAGAAATTCCAAATACTTCCGGAGATATCCGGAAAAAACCGAAATTTGCCAAAATCGTTTTTATTTTTTCCTTAGTCTGTTTGAATAAATATGTCAAAGTAAATGCCACTTAATTTTAGTCACTTTTTCTCCGTTACAAGATGGTATCATCGAATTTAAAATCCGACGTTTTGTTTTTGAGTCACCATCATTAACTTTATTTTTTCAAATACGGACCACAACTTTTTTTTCTGTTTTTTTTTTGTTAGTTTTTGACTTGTTAAATGTAATAGTGTATTACAACAATTAATTGATAGAAGAAATATTTCTGGCGAAAAATTAAGTAGGTAAGTGTCTTGTATACAATAGAAAAGTGGCGAGCCCGTTGGTTTCCATTTCCCTTCCCTGCAGGGCGCTGCTTTGAATAATGTACTGATTGGCGTACAAAATACGCCAAAGCGACCGTTTATGATTTTTATTTGTATAATGGTTTATAATACTGTTTTCGCCTAAGCTGTAACATTTATGTGTTGGGGATTGAAAATGAGTGTTATGTGTTTTGCTATATCCATTTAGCGAAAGGATTCTAGAAAATGAAGTTTGTTCGGTTGTCACCAGTTGAGGGTTAAGACATGGTGGTATTGTAAAAATGTTCGAAGTGCCGATCTTTGGCGAACACATAACTTTCTGCATCAGTTCATCTTAATTCAACACATTAATCTTGTCGAAAGTAGATTGGGTTATTTTCTAGCAATTTTTTTTTTAAATTTTTTGGGACAAATCCAGTTAAATATTAATTAAAACAAAAATAATACTGGAAAATGGGATTTTTTAATTATTTTCTCCACACTACATTTAATTAGGTACCCAAAGCTTATCCAAAATTGCAAAAACTGTATAAGTAAGTACGAAAAACTTAGGAACTAATAAAGTCTAATTTAATCTAATCTAGGAAGTAAGTACCTATAAAAATGAAAACTTGAAAAACTTAACCAAATACCCATAATAATTTCGCCGCTTGTGTTCAAAGTTATTACTGTTTGCCCTAATACAGTTGTTCACTTTTGTTTAAATTTTTTGAACAGTTCTCTAAACGTCCCTTCTATTGATTGTTGCAAATGCATTGATTATTCTGTTCTTAGTTCTACCTTACTATTAACAGGTCTTTTGTAAATTAAATCTTTGAGAGCACCCCATAGATAAAAATCCATTGGTGTGAGATCTGGAGATCTCGCTGGCCATTCTACAAAAACTCCATTTTCTATCCAGCGCTCTGTAAATTCCCTATGAAGAAATTGGCGCACATTCTTGCTGTTATGCGCAGGAGCACTATCCTATTGGAACCAAACATTTCGTAGAGAGGCCAACGGGATATCCATGAGGTACTCTTGAACGTCTCTGTTCAAAAACCTCAAATAGTTACCCGAAATTAAATTTTTTTCAAATAAATATGGCCCTAAAATGCGACCTCCCAATATTCCTGCCCAAACATTTATACCGAATCGAACCTAAGGCCGGATTTCCCTATTTTCTCGAGGATTTTCGATGGACCAAATATGTTCGTTGTGACGGTTGAATATGCAGCAATTTGTGAACTTCGATTCATCCGTCCAAATAATCTTATGTAGAAATGCACCTCCGTTGCGATTATTCTGGTCGCGCAACCAGAAGCAATATGTCAACTGTCAACCTCCTTTCAAGATCCCATGGACGAAGTGATTGACTCACATGAATTTTGAAAGGTTTGAAGTTATTGTTTCTTCATATTCTCCAGCATTTTTCTTTGTTCAGAGTCCGAATATTTGCTTCTGCGGCAATCTGACGCGTGGAAACAGAGAGATTATTGTTTACCTAAAATGGAAAAATAGAACAAATTTGAAATTATGTAAGGTACCTATCTTGGTTGTAATACTAGGTTGACCACAGTTTTTGGTATCTTGGTAGGTATTATTAAACTGCAAACCTGGTTTAAAACAATAGCAACCTCTGCCTCTGTGGTTCTGTTTCCATATTTTCCGCGTTGTGTGTAAATTTGCATCTAGTTTTCGAATAAAGAAAATGCTTGGTTGGGGTCTCTCAGGGTATGTGTTGAGATAAATGTACAGGGTGTCAATTTGAAAACTTCCCACCCCTATTATCTCGGAGTAGAAAAATTTCCGAAAAAATCCCTGAAACACGTCAACTATAATTTGAAGGGGGATAAGTTTTTATGCAAAATTCACCTCCCCTCTTTCAACACCCCAACCCCCAGAGCCACCCCCTAGAAAATCTTAAATGGGAAGAGGGGTCAAGTGGTATATCATTTTGCAGGGTTTTCAATTCCATACATTTTGGTATCAAATTTTAATACCTAGGTTCAACTGTTTTGGAAATACTGACAGTTGGAAATTGACTTTTTTGCAACTTTGACAGGCTGTAAATCCTAAACGGTTGATTTTAGGGGAAAACCAATCTTACATTCTTATCTTAGATTTTCATAAACTATCATTTGACACCAACTTTGAATTTAACCAGAGATTAAATTTTTAACCAGAATTTTTGATCATGGATTAAATTCAAAGTTGCTGTCAAATGATAGTTTATAAAAATCTAAGATACTGTAAGAACGGTTTCCCTCTAAAATTAACCGTTTAGGTTTTACAGCCTGTTAAAGTTGCAAAAAAGTCAATTTTCAACTGTCAATATTTCCAAAACAGCTAAACTTAGGTATTAAAATTTGGTACCAAAATGTATGGAATTAAAAACCCTGCAAAATGATGTATCACTTGACAGTTGAAAGAGGGGAGGTGAATTTTGCATAAAAACTCATCCTTCTTCAAATTATAGTTGACGTGTTTCAGGGATTTTTTTGAAAATTTTTCTACTCCGAGATAATAGGGATGGGAAGTTTCCAAATTGACACCCTGTATTTCTAAAGCGCGCACTGCGTTTCTATTGGATTGATAATACATTTTTATCATATCATTTTTTTCTGCATTTGAGAATCGCATTGTAAAATTGAAAATTAAAATTTATTAGTTGATAATTATTATCTCTTTGACAGAATTTGTCAGAAAAATAATAATGAGGTTGTCGAGGCAATAATGTATTCTAAAGAGAAATTTTTGATTCCGATACATCTTATTATCCAAAATGTATCCAAAATGACAGAAATTTCAAAATACCGATGAAGTACCTATTCAAACAATTTAACGAAGCTACATTTATCGATATCGTTGCTTTGACAACCTCCTTATTATTTTTCTTGACAAATTCTGTCAAAGAGA